GCACATTACTCATGTGTCAAATTATAAGTCTTACAACCGAAACTGGTTTAGTGGCAGATTGGCCATGTCATTTCATAGCATAAAAGAATTGGGCTACGAATCTGGCCCAAAAATTGAAATGCTCTTTCTGGTGTTTTACAGTACCTTTTTATCTCTGCTGCCAAATTCTGCCTCAGTGTCCCGGATGATCCGGATGAAAATCCCACACTTGACTAGAGATGGCAATTTTCTCCACGATCCGCAAAGCTTCACGGATATCCTCGCCACGGGGATGCAGATTTTAAGAATATTCCTCCCCGTGGGGTGAGGATGGAGGCATTTTTTTACTCAAGAAATTTTGTAGGGAATTTCCTCCGCTTTGCGGAGAATCATGGGGATCCACATAAAACAAAAGAAAATATAAATTTATTTATATATATTTAAATATATTAACAATTAATTTTTTATTTGCTCAACTTAATTAATTGACCAATCTATTCTTTTTTCAGTTTTTTCAAACCCAATTATACAGTTTAATACAGCTCATAGTCTTCCTAAACTTAATTGCCCAGGCCCAACCCAATTTGCATTAGTAAGTAGTAACCCTAGAACTAGAAGGACTACTACCCATAGATAGATTTTAGATCTACGAATTTGCAATTCCTCCTCCTCTCCAAACTCTAGTCTCCTCTCCTTTGTGCAGACTACGCTGTAGCTCACTGGCTCTGTTTCTGTTCTTCAATCAGTCAATTCCTTTCAACCTATCATTCTCAACAACCTTCGAAAGGTACTGCCCATAGCTCTGTTTCTATTCTTCAATCTGATATAAAGAACTTTTTCTAAAATTTTGTTAACTTGGGGTACTTGTTTTTGCTTTAGTAAGTTATTTCCTTAACTTGAAATTATTGATCAAGCTTAGTTTAAGTTGCTGCTACAGAGTTTATCTTGCTGGATTGGATGGATGTATACACATGTGCCACTTACTAAACTCTTTTATGCCCATTTTCTTAATGAACTTATTGTTGGACATCTATGGCAGTAGTTTATGCATTTTTTTCTATGAACTTTGCTGAATCTAGACTTGTGTGGCAATTGCAGTTTATGCCCCTTTTTTTATGAACCTTTTGCTGGATTTACTTGACTTATATGGTAGTTTATGCCTTTTTTTCTTTATGAACTTGTTGCTGACTTGCTAGACCTACTTGACATGTATATATTGGCTGTGTATATTTACTGCTTGTTTGTTTTGTTTCAAAATTTTACTTTATATGATTATTTGAGCTAGTTTTATTTGATGAATGTGAAAACTAGTGGAGTCTAAGTAGACCCATGTTGAACTTAATTTTGATTAACAAGCAATGAAAATTTTGATTAACAAGCAGTGAAAATTTTAATTAACAAGCAGTAGAGCAAGTGATAGTTTTATTTGGTGAGAACTCCGAATATCCACGATGACCTATCATTCCCCGTGGTATGGGGATGGAGGCTATTTTTGATTCTCCACCAAAATCCTCGTAGAGATCCCCATACTCGCCATTGACAGGGATAGGGATGGGGAGGGGGTCCCCGCCCCTGTGGGGATCCGTTGCCATCCCTACACTTGACTCTGTGTTATGTCATTATTTTACCATTGGGTATAATATTCTTGCATGACCAAACAATGAGGAAGATGTGACATATAACTTATGTTATCTTTTGTTTGATCCAGTCTGCTTGTTAGAAAGACATATGTGTTGCCTTTTGCTCTAATCACTGATGTTCATTTTGCATAAAGATGAACATATAATGATATGAGATGTTGGAATTTTATGAGAATTTAAGTGCTACAATAACTCATTCTATACAGTTTGTCAGAATAAAATCACACATGCATATCTGACTTAATCCATAGAAAATACAAAAATTAACTACTTAATAAGTTAAGTATTTATCTCAATCTCAAATATAAAATTTTAATTTAGTGAATACCAATACGCTAAGTTCTTGTTAATATTCTTTTACATCTCTAGATAATAGACAACTCCAATCTTCAAATATGTTATCTTCATTGCAAAAAGCATTAAAGTAGCAACAAGATCAACGGACAAGCACATCATGTTTGATTTTACTCTTAGGCAACAACATTTTTTTTATTAGCAAAATAAATAAATTTTATTATGCAAAATACAAGAAGTACTCCAACTCATATACAAAATTAAGATACAACCAATGAAAACATATTAACATAAACAACTCTTCCAGCAACTTCTACCATAACCCAAAGAACATGTGAAATGCAACTAACCCACCCAAGCAACCCATTATACCCACCCCTTCTGGTTCATATGAAACTCCTTCAGCCTCCTTTTATGATTTCTTATAGCTGTAGTACTCTCAAGTGGATTAACCTTCCAATCACAAAAGGAAAAAACACTTCCCTGCACTTTATTCTTGATCTAGAAAAATGTCTTTGCCTGTATCATATCCAACCCTTCCCTAGAACCCCCATCCCCCTTAAAAACTCTACAATTGCTCCAATACCATATAGACCAGGATGTAACAAGAAAAATACAAGCTCCCAATTCCTTCCTTATCACCTTACCCAAGCCACACAAGAAAAATTCCGCTACCCCCCCCCCCCAAAAATATTCGACAACACAATCTCTATTCCCCACCAAAATAGTACCTTAACCCATATTAACCAAGGTTCCTTACATGTACAAAAGACATGATTACATTCTTCCACCTCCTCATTACACAAACTAACACATTAGCACCCCCTCCAACACCACCCCTCTTTTTTGCAAACTCCACTTTGTTGGAAGTCTCTCAAGACATAATGTCCACCCAAAGAAACTAACTTTAGAAGGTACTAACCGACACCAAATTAATTTGCACAACTGATCATTAGGAATATATTCCACAGATGCCATAAACTCATAAGCTTTTTGCACGCATACCTCCCTTTTGAATCAAGCACCCACTATCAACAATCCTCAACACCTACCTTAATCTAAACTTTGCTCAATACCTCCCACAACACCAATTCCTCATCCCTCTCTCTTCCCAAACTCCCTTTCCTGCAAACTATATTCCATTGCCAACTACCCTCCTCCCAATACCCCATCTCACTAACTAGACCTTCCTTGTGTACAACCAACCTAGGACACAAATCCCTAAGAGATTTCTCCCCCACCCAAACTGCTCTCCAAAAACCTACCTGACTCCCATCCCTTACCACCCATTTAAACCCCTTCACCAACATATTCTTTAAGCTTACAAATCGCATACCTATACTAATAACATCCTTCCAAATCTTGGACACCCTTACACTATCCATTACTGTAATATCCACTTCCACCCTTCCCCCATAGTACTTCTCCCACACTACCTATTTCCACAAACCCTCCACCCCATCACTTAATCCAAACCACTACTTCCCTAATAAAGCCCAATTTTTTTGACACAAATCCGGCACTCCTAGACCTCACTTCCTCTTACTAGAACAAATGTATCCCATTTAACCCATGGAATCTTCCTTTTTAATTCCACCCCACCCCACAAAAAATCCCTTTGAGTGCTAATCAACTCAAATACCACATAATTTGACATAAAAAAAATACATTGAAAAAATAGGGATAGTAAAGAGTACCGAGTTGAGTAAACTGATGCGACCACCAAAGAACAACATAGCAGACTTCCAATAGCTAGCTTGGCTTGAAATTTGTTCAGAACTGAATCCCACATCTTCCTACACCCATTCTTCCCACCAACAAGAATCCCCAAATACAAAAAAGGAGTTTCCCTGACACCACAATGCAAAACACTTGCTGCCCCTTTAATCCACCTTTAAGACACATTGAAACCAAAGACATTTCTTTTACTAAAATTAATCTGCAATCCAAACATCAAATCAAACCATCTTAAAATGGTTTTGACCATGAAAATATTCTTACTGTCAACTTTCCCCAAAATCATTTTATCACCAGCAAATTGAAGCGAAGAAACAACAAACCCCTTATTACCCACCGCAATGCCTTGTAACATTCCCTCTATTTTTGCTCTTTTGACTAATCCATGCAATCCCTCAACAACCATCAAAAAGAGAAACAATGATAAAGGATCACCTTGCCTTAATCCTTTTCCCATCACAAACTCCTCCATAGGGCTTCCATTAACTAAAACCGAGATCTTTACTGTTGAAAGACATTCTTTAATCCACCCTCACCACTTCAACTTGCTCATCATCCAATCCAAGAATGACCAATCTACACAATCGTAAGCCTTTTTAAAATCAACCTTAAAAATAAAAGCATGTTACTTCCTCAGCTTAACCTTCTCCACAACCTCATTTAAGACTAAGGGCCTATTTGGTTTAACTTGTGAGAGCTTTTTCTTTTTTAGTACTGTTTATGAGTGATAAATTTAAATTTTTATTGGAGGAAAAATTTTAAAGTTGCTTTTAGAGATAGAAAAAAGTGAGTAAAAATGAAGTTTATGAAAAGTTTGGATTTAAAGCTTTTGAGTTTTTACTGTTTGAGATCTTTTTAAGGCTAGAAAAAATAAAAAAAACTGTAAGTTTTTAAGAGGGAAATTTAAACTTATGGAACATGAATAGTGTCAAAAAACTGAAGTTGTAAGAAGCTAACCCAAACATGCCCTAAAACACTATCAACTAGTTGACAACCCCCAAGAAAAGCAGATTGAGTGTCACTAATTATCCTTGACATTACAACCTTTAACCTATTAGCCTTCACCTTTACCAATAATTTATACACACATCCAATCAAACTAATAGGTTTAAAGTCCTTTAGCTCCATAGGATTCATTTTCTTAGAAATTAACATTAAGAAAGAAGAATTTAACCCTCTTACTAACCTACCATTTTGATGAAATTCCTCGAAAAAGCTCACAAAATCCTCCTTCAAACAGTTCCAAGCAAATTTGAGAAAATTAAAATTGTATCCATTCGGCCCCAGTACTTTAGTTCCTTCACAACTCTTCAACCCTTTCTCAATCTCCTCCATAGAAAGTGGTCTTTCTAACTAGGCTTTCATCTCTTCAAAAATCTGTTTAAAGCCAATTCCAGCAAGCTTGCAATGATTCCATGATTCTCCATCAAACAACTTTGGAAAATACTTGACAACCTCTTTCTTCACCACCTCTAGCTCCTTAACCCACTTGCCATCACACAAGAGGCCAATAATATTGTTGTAAGCCTTTCTACCATTTGCAATTTTGTGGAAGAATCTCGTATTAGCATCCCCCAATTTTGCCCAATTACTTCTTGATTTCTGCTTCCATATAGCTTCCCTCTTCCTCATAATATCCCATATCTCAACCTTCTTGTCTTTCATCCAACTCTTCCTCTTCCAAGGCAACCTCTTCATTCTTCATATCAATCCGTGCTACCGTATCAACTACAATTTGAAATTGAGCTTCTATATCCCCACACTTCCTTATTCCAACCCTTTATAAAGCTTTTCAACATTTTTAATTTTTGTAACATCTGTAACCTGCAAACCCATCCACCACCATCTCATTCCATTTGTCTTCAACTACTTTCCTAAAATTTGGACGTTGCTACCATGCATCCAAAACTCTAAGCGGTTTAGGTCCCCAATCTATTGCCCTTGTTTTCAAAATAATCGCATAGTGATCAATATAGTTCTTTTCAATCCTTGTTACACCCATTCTTCACCCATACTGCTCATTTCCATAGTCATCAATATCCTGTCTAATCTGCTCATAGATGTGCCATCTGATATGTACCATGTAAACTTTTGATTCACCAACTTAATATCAATTAACCCTACTGTCTCTATAAAAACATCAAATTCCTTCATATCTACACTTGCCCCTATCCTTCCCCTTCTTTCTTCAAGACTCCGAATAGCACTAAAGTCCCTTGCAAGCAACCATCGCCCACCCTTTTTAGTAATCCGCTTTCTTAGCTCATCCCATTACTCAGCTTTTCTCTTTTTGTCATTCGGAGCATGACAACAATAATACAACTTGCTTTTCCAATAAACTATCAATTTTTTTCCATTATAATTCAAATATTCTTGTTCCTTGATATTGACCAAACATGGCCATTCCATTTGAAATCCTCATCAATTATTATTAATTAGGCATCTAAGACACATCCTGTATTAATATAAACAAAAGAAAACCATACGTAAATATTCTTACATTTTTTTTTTAGACATTTATCTAATTGTGTTCTTAATATCTCTCTATCATTCACTAATTATATACTTAATCTTATTTAAAGAGAGCCATTATTCATTGAAATTGGAGGGAACAACACTCCAGACATTATAACAAAGGTTTAATTTATTAACATTAATACAAAATTAGTGGCTGAATTTCACATAAGACACAATTCATGTGATTACTTTATATCTCTTACTATATGTTTGATCAGGATCTAATCAATTGATTAACGATTTAATCTCAATCATTAATAATGCACATGGTCTTAATTAAGGGATGGCATAGAAACAGGGACGGAGCCAGGGGTGCAAGGGGGGCGCTCGCCCCCCCTAAACTTTTGAAAAAAAATTAAATAGGTCCTATACTTAAAAAAAATCAAATAAATCCTTTAAAAAAAAATAAAATGGTGTGTTCTAAATTTATTCTTTTATAGATCTTATAGTGAATTACTAATAACTTGACAAGTAAAATAAATTTACTAAAATATTTTTATTTATTTGACATATTTGTCATTCTAATATATACATAGTAAATGATTATTTGTATTAAATAACAAAATAAAATTAACTTAAAATTGCTATTGTTAATTCTTTAAAACATTTAGTTTTACTATCTGGATAATATTAAATAATATTTTGTGATGGAAGTTGTGTTTCATATTGAAATCTAAATACACAAATTTTAACAAGTTCTTTTATATTTAACATTTTTAAAATTTTAATTTTTATATATTTAAATATTAACCTTATTTATAAATTACAAATCAAAAAATTACATTTTTAACATATACATTTCAAATAACACTTCGTCCCCCTAAGATTATTTTCTGGCTCTACCCCTACCTAGAAAGTATAGGAAGAGCAAGAAAGAAACTAGGAGAATCTTAGATTCTCCTTTACAGTAGCATAATATATAAGAATGTGTGTGTGTATATATATATTTATGTATATATATATAATTAAAGGAAATGTTTTCAACACCCTGCTTTGATATAGACCGCCACTGAATTGATTTTAGTAATTAAAATATAAGATGAAAGTAAGTAATTTAATTAATTTTTTTAATATTAGATATATGATTACATTTTTTATTTTTAATTTTATAAAAAAAATAACTTTTTAATAAATATATTATAAAGTATATATATTAAACTAAAATGTGTATATATAAGTGTTTCAAGGATGGCAACGGGTCCCCACGGGAGCGGGGACCCCCTCCCCATCCCCATCCCCGTCAATGGCGGGTACGGGGATCCCACGGGGATTTTTGGCGGAGGGTCAAAAATTACCTCCATCCCCATCCCCGCGGGGAATAATAGGTCCCCGCAGATATTCGAAGTCCCCGCCAAATAAAACTATCACCTATTTCACTGCTTTATCTTTCAGGTTCCATAAAACCCCTTTTTTGTATTAACTTCCTAGTTGTTAGTTATGTCAGTATGTTACCATCTAGCTCAATCATAAAATTTCAGAAAAACCAATAGTAAATATAATAAATGAACAATGAGAAGGGCAACGCAAAGGGCAAACTCATCTCAGTCAGAGATCCGAGTAAGTATCAATTAAGGTAGCACAATCCAACGTTGCCCAAGTTAATTATTTTTAAAATTTTAACAAGGCAATATGGCATTGGATACTAAAAAGAGACATTCTTCGGTTGTTCTTTATATTATCTGCATTAGTAACAGGCGAAAGAGAAATTGTAGTCATATATATTTTAAACTAAAATTCATCACCATAGAAAATGAAAAGATATTCAAAATTCATTCTTCATGTAGCAAGCGCAAGTTGATACACATACCATCTGCAATAAACAAAATGTGCTTCAAAATCAATTATTTACCAAGCTAGCTAACCTCAAATTCCAAAAAAACTAACCTGTTCACTATGACCCTGTGGGAAATAAACAACCCTACTTCCAACAGGAGGTAGAGAAACAAGAGGTCCCGTACATGCATGCCAAAGTTCAGAGTTGAGAACCCTTTTTTCCCCTGCAATACATATTTTACATTAATGCAAAACTCCAACCAAAAAGCAAAATGAAGATATAAACAACTACAATCATATTGATCTTAACCACTAAAGAGTAATGCCACGGTGAGAGGCTGGCTAAGACAACCCAGCAGCAGCCTTGGAGCTCAGCTGGAGGTGAGCAGTGAGTTGCAGGGCAGCAAGGGCCAAGGGCTGTAGTGATGGCACCGTGAGTCCGTGAGAGGTCGAGAGTTGAAGGGAATCTAAAGGTCCGTGGAGATGAGGGCAGAGTTTGAGCAAGAGTGTGGGGTGTGGCAGAGGACTGGAGGAGAGGAAACACTGATTCACGATGAGTCGCAGAGTCGGTGAGAGGTGCGAGGCGCGACCTGAAGGGAAGCCAGAAGCATCGATTCACAGTGGATCGTGGAGATGAGGGCAGAGTTTTAGCATGAGTGAAGAGCGTGGCAGAGGATTAGAGATTTAGAGGAGAGGAAAGTCGACCGAGACCGAGAGGCGAGAGAGGAATGGAAATCCCTAATTCAGAATTTGCAAGAAGCGGGCAAGTGGCAGCAAGCAAAAAAGGACTGAAAAAGTGAACATAAAATGTCTTTCTGCTGGGCAGCTAGGGTTATATGTAAATTGGGCTGTAAATTGTGAATTTGGGCAATTAAGTTTAGGAAATAGGAATATTAGATTCACAAAAAAAAAAAAAAATGGATTGGACTGAGAAGTGAGAAGTGAGAATTGGGTTTGGAAATTTTACAAAGTGCAATGGAGGGAGGAGAAGGGAAATGAAGGGGAACAAAAGGAAAGAGAAATATGAGGATTTTGTAGAGAGGAAGAGGGAAAGAAAGGAAAGGAAAGAAAAGGAAACACGTGGCGTTGAACTTCTAAGTGAATTTGTATGAAAAGGCAAAATCTTACAACTTCATACCATAATAAGATAGTTTTAAGATGCCCTATTCTAGTCCTCCAGGATCTTCTGTGGTCCATGATCAATAACACGTTCAGCCAAGTGGCTCATGGTGGCATTTATTGTTCTGTTACTGGTCTTGCACTGCAACAGTTGCTGCTGAAGACTCTGCACGAGCTCATTAAGTCTTTGAATGTTTTTCTCTTGTGATAAGATTATCTGGAGCGATTGGATTAGAAATTACAAAAGTTAAAACTGAACAGGGTATGAGACAAATCACAATGAGAACAAACCACCCTACTGGAATAACTGGTACAAGTTTTCCAATAATGCAAAATAACCTCATTGATAACAGGTTGGCACGGTATATTAACCAAGATGAAATCATGTAATGTCCATTTACACCATCCCTCAAGTGGAAACTCATAAGTAATAACAGAATCAAGTTAGGTGACTGTTAAAGCAAACTGAACCAATTAGATTCATGAAATGGGGGATCATAAGTAATAAACCCTTTGGTGGTTGCAGTCTCTTGAGCACAGTCAGTAGATCACATTTGCCAATCCTTATCTAATGGCTTGGTCAAGTCTGTTATGAGCTCAAGCAGGATGCATCTGAAAACAATGATGTTGACTATAAATCCAAGAACTGCCTCCATCACTGAAGTCGATGATATAAACTTAGTGGACTAAAATGATGATGTTATACTGCTGTAGGTGTACGTTAAAAGGACAAGAAATGTCAACATAACACTACCATTATATTGCATTGCTACTTCAACAAAAGATTGCTTTGCAAGTAAGAACTAACAGAAGTCGATTTAAAGGTGAGCTACAGCTATCTGCCAATTGTTTGTGAATGTTGATTAAGAAAGAAAAAAAGGCTATGAATCAGCCTAATGACTGCTACCCTGGTTTTGGCTCAGCTTTAGTAAAATGAAAAGTATGACGACACATTAAAGCCAATGATTAGAAACTATAAGAAGTTCACCCCCTGCACTTATTTGTGGAAGTGTTTTCTAACAAATTAAAATAACATACAATCTCCTGTCAGTGTGAGGGGTTCTACAGGAAAGAGGGAGACAAAAAAAAACACATATCAAGCCAGCCTAATAAAAAACTCCAACTCAAGTGTTAAGGTCTATGTAAGTAATTTAAACCATTTGACCAGAATTTGGTGACATTAGGAAATTGGTGACAGATCAATAGATCATCCTAGACAGGCAATCAAAATGTGAAGAAAAAAGCTCTTATAGGGCAAGCAACCTTCCACTTTGGTTAAATTATCCAGTTGAGAACATGGAAGTCTTGGAAACATTACATTAAAAGTGGCATTAATTAGAAAGCAAACTGTTTCCAGATGACAGTAACAACCATTCAAAATGGAATATGATACATAGAGAGCAAGACATCTGTTATCAATTACAAGTTAACGATCAAAATAAAAGAAAATACACAATAAGAAGTACAAGTAAAACTTAATTGGCACTTAAAAAAGAATTACCTTCTCTTTAACAGCTTTTTCCCTCTTTGAAATTGACTGCTGTTTCTCGGTAATGCTAGGTGTCGGGTCTATGTCAACAACGAGTTGTTGTCTCCACTCAAACTGAGAGGTAATTATAAGCACAAGCAATAGAAAGACAAGTAACATGGGTCTTGATATCATTATAGGCCTCTCTTATGAAACCTGTAAAACAATGAAAAAAACTCAGTGAGTATATAATAAACACGTAACCAAAATGCGTCGACATTTACTTAAAAAATCCATGATTTAATGCCCCTTTTTGAGATGAAAAGGAAAATCCCTCTTCAGTCTTCATTGCCTTAAGAGTTTGGAAGGTAAACTCCAGCTAACCTGACTGGACTAGACCCAAAAAAGACATCATCACTGAACCATTAAATTAAGTTAAATGCTCCCTTAATTTGCCAAGAAACTATTGGAACAAAGAAGTCAAAAACTTTTATAGTTTACTCATACCAGAACCTAAAAGCCCTCCTGATTTTAGCTTTTATAATGGTAATCAGACTTTCAGAAAATAAGCAATGAATATATTCTGTCTCATGAATTCACTTTCTCTCCGGTAATTACACAAAGCAAAAATTCGTAGTCCAAAACACAGAATAACGAGAAATGGAAGCAAACCTTCATTCAAAAATAAAAAATAAAAAACTTAAAAATCATCATCAATGATCCCTTAATGCCTACTTGCTTGACAACACTAAAAGCAGCAATTTTGCTAAAAAAAAAAAAAAAACCCTAACAATTTGAGTTCGGTTACAGAGACAACGGCGGAAAATATAAATGCTAAGTAGAATTCAAGCTTTCTAACTAATCAGCATTCAGAAATTAAGAAGGA